TTCCAGCCCTTTCTTGCCTATAAGGTTTCTTTTGAGAAATCAGCTAATAGTCTCATGGGAACTCCTATGTAAGTAACTCTCTCCTTTCCTCTTGCTGCTTTTAAGATTCTCTCTTTAACTTTAATCTTAGATAACTTAATTATGATGTGCCTTGGTGTGTGCTTCCTTGGGTCCAACTTCTTGGGGACTCTCTGAGCTATCTGGACTTCCTGGAAGTCTATTTCCTTCACCAGATTGGGGCAGTTTTCCTTCATTGTTTGTTCAAATAAGTTTTCAATTTCTTGGTCTCATTCTTCTCCTTCTGCACCCCCATGATTCCGATGTTGGAGTGCCTAAAGTTGCCCCACAGGTTTCTAAGCCTCTCCTTGTTTTTCTGAATTCTTGTTTCCTCATTCTGTTCCAGATGGATGTTTATTTCTTCCTTTTATTCCAAATTATTGTTGATTTGAGTCCTGGTTTCCTTTTCTTCTCTGTTGGTTCCCTATATATTTTGGGTTATTTTATTTTGTGTAGCCTTCATTACTTCCTTCATTTTGTGACTGAGCTCAATCAGTTCTGTAAGCATCCTGATTACCAGTGTTTTGAACTCTGTATCAGATATGTTGTCTATCTCCTCATTGCTTAGCTCTTTTTCTGGGATTTTGATCTGTTCTTTCATTTGAACCATATTTCTTTGTCTCAGCACACCTGTTATGTTGTAAGGGGGCAGAGCTTTAGTTATTCACCAGGGTGGGGCAACCCACGTGGCTGCATTGTGGTGATATCTGTGAGGGAGGGGTCTTAGAGGGAATAATGCCAATCGCTCATTCTGCTCTAGCCCCACCTTCCAACAAATTCTCCTGTGAGACTGGGAGTTTCTCCCACTGTAGCAAGCCCCACAGTATTTTACAGACAGAGGTTTTGAGTCTTTAGTTCCTGTTCAGCCAGCCCCACCTCACCCACCACCTTACAGCACATCCTCTCTGCTCAGCTGCCAGTCTCACCCCTCCTACTGGACTGGATGAATGTTTCTTTAACTCCTTGGTTGTTGGCATTCTATGCAGTTTGATTTTCTGGCACTTCTGGTTTGCTTATTTTTTTCTTTAATTGGTTGTTATCCTTCTTTTGGTTGTGCGAGGAAGCAAAGCATTTCTTCCTGCACCTCCATCTTGGCTGGAACCAATTATTTGATTTTTTAAAATCTGTGTGGTCTCTTTTATTTTCTTTAAATGAAATTTCACTTTTTAATCACAAGATAAAAGGTCCCACAATGTGAAAAGGCTCTCATGAAACTGTATTCTGATTACTACTGAAATGTTATTTCTAGAGGATATTGAGGTAAATATTCTAGAATATTTTGTGTCTGTTCTACAGGAAAGTACTAAATTAACAATATAGGAAATAATATCACATTTCATGTTTTGCAAAGGATTATATTTTCATCTTTATTGAAGAGTAACCTTCCAATGAAGTATATTATTTCAAGTGCTAATTTATTTGTGGTATGTCCTTTAAGGGACTGTGGGACAAGAAGCGCTGTTTTTCAAACCTTGACAATCTCCACTAAAGTTTGTGCTATTTTTGAAGCTGTCTAAATATGACAAAGCGAACAAGCCTCTCTCAAATACCAATGAACAACAACAACAAAAACAATGAATAGGGAATTACCAGACATGTAAAGAAAGGCTCCAAACTAAAAGAGAAAGGCCAAAACAAGCAAACAAAAAATTACTTTCAACCTAGAACTCCAAAGTCAGCCAATGGTCCAACAAGTGGAACACAGAAAACAATTTTGTCACTCATGCAAGAACTCAAAAAATTTACCTCCTATGCACTGTGTTTGCAGAAAGCTACTACCGGATGCACTCCAAAATAAGGGTGTAAACTAAGAAAGAAGGAGACAAAGGAAATAGGAAATCAAACAAGGGGCTCAGGGAAGTCCCAGGATGACACCTGTGTATTAGGAGGATAGTAAGCACCAGGGGAGATAGCTCTAAGAAACCAATATCACACCTTAAAAGTAACATAGTGAGGAAAAATATTATTCACATTATTTTTATGGTTTGGCTGGAAGAGCTAATCATAGTGAACAGTGTGCTAACAAAAATAGTGAGGTAATTATTAATTCCAAAAAGGAAAAACATTGTACAAGCAAGGAAAGCACTGCAATGACAGAATATTTCTTGGTTCAGAAGTAAACAATACTAACAGTAATATTAAGATAAATGATGAATATTGATTTAACTAAAAATTGTGCTATAACTACACTGGGAGGATAGATGAGTGTGAATATACATGGGAACATTTCTCTAAGCATAAACATATTTTCCTATGCTCTCCAAAATGGAGGCCTTGGATTTGTCTTCCTAAATATCATGGCAAGCCTACTTGGCCATATATACTATCCAACATTGTACCGAAATGTTTCTTCATTTTCTCACCTTAACAAGATTTTCAAAGTAACTTTAAAGCAAATTATCAAATTTTAACTTGTCAGTCAACAGGATGAATTTAGATAATACCTTCCTGATGTTAAGGTGAAAACCCTATGTGAAACTTTTTTCACAGCGATGTTCAGTTTTTGCCAGAATTTTGTCAATAATTTTCTGGAGTGCAAATTTTGTTTTATTGACAAATATTCTTTATAAAAATAAATCAACCTGGGAAATTATTTTTGTAAAATATTTTATGCCCTGGCTGGTGTAGCTCAGTTGGTTGGAACATTGTCCCCTAGACAGAAGGGTCACAAGTTCGATTCCCAATCAGGGCACATACCCAGGTTGCAGGTTCAATCCCTGGTCAGGGTTTGTATGTGAAGGCAACCAAATTGATGTTTTTCTCTAACATTGTTGTTTCTCTCTCTCTTTCTCTTAAAGCAATGAAAAAAATGTCTTTGGGTAGGAATAAAAATTTTTAATAAAATAAAATATTTTATAATTTATCCTCACATGAGTGGCCAGGCAATAGAGGCAGGAAAGTGAAGCTGGCTCAGTTTAGTGCTGACAGCCCAGAATAAACTGACCCAATGGAGAAAGCACTCTACGATTGGGGGAAAAGGAGAATGTGGAAGCCCTAGACACTAAAAAACAAACAGATGTCAGTGTCCCCCATCCTGCTCTGGGGAAATTCCACTCCAGAGGAATCTGCTACATGACATAGTAATAACACAGCTCTTTTCAGCCAGGGTATAGGCAACGGCTGGAATATGTTCGTGATAAGTGCAATCAGTAAAGCTGGTCTGGCCATAAAATATAGTTAAACCCAATTTTGACTTCAGAGTTCAAATATTTGGGTATATGGTGGGATAATAAACCCCTTGTGAGATAAAATAGGTGCTATTAGGGACTGGAAGGCTCCCACAACTCAGGGAGAGTCAGGTAATTCTGAGGATAACCAGGACATTTGAAAGCATGCTTATTTCAAGATTTTATCTAGATATTGAACACAAAAGAGTAAATTGATAAAGTTATCTGCAACTCCTCAGAGTGTTAATAGGTTTTGGAAAAGCTGAAACTATCTTGAATTTCTTTATTGGACTGATAAGCCCAGACTTTTCAAAATCCTTCCCTTTAATCATGTTTTTTCCCCATATATTATTTACTGGATTGAGGCAGTTTTATTTTAAAACCACAAAAAATATAAAGCAGCTTGTAACAGACCTCTCCAGAAAACAACTGCCAAAAAATAGGAGCACCTCTTCTCTCTGGAGGAAGTGTCTAGCCATTATTTGGGTTTCAGCTAAACCTAGGCCATAAATATTTGGCCCAAAGTTGCCTTGTTGTACTCTACTATAATGACTGTGCAAATGGCATTTTAGATAAATATCTGATGTGTTCCTCAAGAAGAGATGACCACAGCAGACAGGAAAATTCTCTCTTAAGTTTATCCTAACTAGATGGACACTAGGAGCAAAGACCAGCTTTGTCATAGACTTACAGCAAACCTATTGCCCTTATCTTCACACCCTGCTTCTCAATTGCTTCCTAATCTGCGTAGCTTTGACCACCTCTGTCCTTTTCACTAACATCTTCACCTCACCCCTCTGGCCTGACATTCAGCCCTGCTTCTGCATCTTGATTCTTTTGTTCCTTCCTCAACATTAGCTGTCAGCTCCCCTGGTTAGGCTGCCTTCAACTGCCCAGGACAGACACACTCAGTTTCTTGTGTCCCCCAGACTCCATCTCTACACAGGCTTTTTCTGGCAAAGCTTCTTCTACATTTGCCCAACAAATAAAGACATTCTATGAGTTAAAGCCAATGCTAGTAGCAACAGCCTGGAAGCATGAGAAACAGCTCTTATTTTAGTGTCTAGCTGATGACATGAGGGAGCCAAAACCAATCAAGTAAAAAGTTATTTCCTTCTGATCAAGAAAAAACTGTCACCAGGAGGTTTGTAATCTCTGTAGACAGATGCCTTACATAGCTCCTTCTTTATTTTTCCCTTCTGCATCTTATATGGAAAGGAAGCACCGCTCTAAGTATTCACTCACAGAGTAACAGAAGGCAGGGACTTTACCATTGTATAAACTTCCTGTGCCTATCTTGGTTCCTACACATGGAAGGCACTCACTCAGTATATATTCGTAATAACTAATAAGTGAATTAATTAAATTTTAAATAATTGTAATGTGAAAATGTTGTAGTTATAAAGCTATAGGAGAAGGTATATTCTGACGGCCCATCAGTTCTCAGGAAAGCCCACACACACCATGGCTCACAGGTTGGGGGATTTAGCTAAGCCATCACGGCCATCTAGTGGCAGGACACCTACATCACTGGTTTAGTAAGTTAGTGAGAGGGTTCTTTTTTTTTTTTTTTTTTTTTGGATGATAACCTGTAAAATTAAAATTAAGAAGTGATAGGAAACATATTACAGTATAAGGGAGAGTTAGAGAGAATGGAGAGAAAATCAAAAGATGGGAATTAAACTCTTGGGACAGTTGGGGAAGAGAATGGATCCAAAGACAGAATAAGTAGAAGGAGTTAGATAAAGGGAGATCAAGTAGGGGTGGGTCTTGTACTTGTCAAAGTTGATGTCCAGCATCCCTGCCTTCTCCTGGCTGATTCGTAACAATGGCATATCCAGCCGCCGAATGCAGTCCTTGTCCAGTGTTGATGTCCAGTCTTGGAAGGTTTTCCGAACCAGTTCATCAATGGCCTGAACCATCTGCTGGTAGGTATGTACACTCTCCTCTCCAGTCCCAATGTGAGGCAAGAAATGAGCACTAGAAAGACACTGAGGAGGAAGAACACAAATGAGAGGAGCCCGCACACCACATTCCTCCATGTTACCATCTCCCTGAGACCATACATACACATTCACCAACAATATGTGTAAGGCTTGCTATGGCAATTAATTTTGACTACTTAGAGCACCGATTTTCTTTCTTTCTTTCTTTTTTAGAACACTGCTGAGGGGTTTTGTCATTTAATTATTTTTTATTTTTCCATTACAGTTGGCATACAGTATTATATTAGTTTCAGGTACACACCCCAGTGCTTAAACATTATATAACTTACTAAGTGCTCATCCCAATAAATCTCGTATCTATTAACACCATATATGGTTATCAGAATATGATTGACTATATTCCCTGTGCTGTACTTTACATCCCCATAACTATCCTGTAACAACCAATTTGTACTTCTTAACCCCTTCACCTTTTTCACCATCCCCTCAGCCCCCTTCCCATCTGGCAACCATCAAAATGTTCTCTATATCTATGAGTCTGTTTCTGTTCTGCTTCTTCATTTATTTTGTTTTTTAAATTCAATTGTTGATAAATATGTGTTTATTGCAGTTTTGTTGTTCACATTTTTTCTTTTTTCTTCTTCTTAAAAAAGACCCTTTAACATTTAATGTAATACTGGTTTAGTGGTGATGAACTCCTCTAGCTTTTTCTTGTCTGGGGAGCTCTTTATCTGTCCTTAGATTTTAAATGATAACTTTTCTGGATAGAGTAATCTTGGTTATAGGTCCTTGTTTTTCATCACTTTGAATACTTCCTGCCAATCCCTCTGGCCTACAAAGTTTCTGTTGAGAAATCAACTGACATTCTTATGAGAGCTCCCTTGTAGGTAACGAACTCTTTTCTCTTGTTGCTTTTAAGATTCTTAGAGCACCTGGCAGGTATGGCTCAGTGGATTGAGTGCCAGCCTGAGAATCAAAGGGTTGCTGGTTCTCTTCCCAGTCAGGGCACATGCCTGAGTTGCGGGCCAGGTCCCCAGTAAGAGGCTCTGCAAGAGGCAACCACACATTGATGTTTCCCCCTTTCTCTCCCTCACTTCCCCCCTCTTTAAAAATAAATAAATAAAATCTTAAAAAAAAAAAAAGATTCTTTGAGCAGTGGTTTTTCAACCACTGGTGTACCTCAAGAATTTCTAAAATAAGCAATACCTGACACTTAGTCAGGAGCACTAACCTCTTTTCCCTTAGATTGTCAAATTAAAAAATGACAAAAGCCATCCAATGTAAATGAATCAAAATTATACATATTTTTGTCAGATCAACCAAAAAATATATTTTGTGTGTGTGCTGCATAATTTTAGTAGTTTATATACGCCATGAGATGAAAAAGTTGAAAATAATTGCCTTAGAAGGAAGGTGGAGCTAAAAAGAAGAGTGAGAAGAAGAAAACAAGGCACAATGAGAAAGGAGTCAAAATGTATAGGAGCACAGAGATTCAGTTCAAGAAAAAAATGGGGAAAGAAAGTAAATTACACAAGGTGAAGGATTTAACAGGTACAAGACTGTAAACTACTATGAGCCCTCCCTCACCATAGTCTTAGCCTACCACTTTTTAGGAAGTTTCCAGTTGTCTGTGGGCTGCCTTATTCTCTCCCAGGACCAGTTAGATGATAACAGGTAGGTAGCTTTAAACTTACATTCCCAAAAAACTTGGGTGTTTTTTTCTCTTTCTTTGCACATATTCTTCTAGGGCGAGCAGGCCCAATCAAGGACTCAACTGTCCAGTTCTCTGGAGTTTGAAGTTGTATTACTTACTCTTCTGGTGGCCCAGCTTCTTAGATGCTGGCCTTATTCTTCCTCTCCACCTTGATATGAAATGCCTAAAATCACCCATATTCTACCAACCAGACTCACCACTGCTGCAAATCCAAGGCCCTGGCCTGCCTTACTGAAAAGCTGCATCTGCCACTCCCCTGGGCAGACTTAGTCTCTTGTCATGAAAACTCTCTAGTGCATCTCTGGGTCAGGTCCCTCCCAGCATGTGGCACAGCCTACAAACTCTACCATGTCACTGAAGACAGGTACTAGGAAAGGCCAGGCACTTACATTCATGACTCTGTCGATGCGGCGCCGTAGAATGCGCACCCAGTGTGCCTGTCCAGAATACTGGGCCTTGTAGGGCTCCAGATATGGCCATTTCTTGTTCAGTTCGCGGTTCACAAGGGCCAATTCGGTATTAAATAGCATGTAGAGATCCACTGCCTTCTTGTCATATGTTCGCTTGATTGCCTAAGGAAGAAGAGAGAGAAGTCAACAACATGCCCTGGGGATGTGCATTCCTCCAGTTACTCATCCAAGAAGAAAGCTACACCCTGCTGTGGAAGTCATACTCTTTAGTAATCTGAAAAGCAGAGGAACAGAGGGAAGAAAAGAGGCACTGGCAACTCAGGACATGGGAAAGAGCAGAAAAGGAGGCAGGATGGTGTTTGGAAAGCTCAAGAAGAAATGATGGGAAGCATGAGAGAACTAGGGGTGGAGGAAGCAGACAGGACAGTGGCACCTCACGGGCTGAAAGCCTGTGGAAGGTATCCAGTAGCAGCACTCCGTGCTCTACATCTCGAACTTTCTCGAAGGCAGAGGTGATCAAGTTCTGAGTCATCACCTCCAGGTCCTTGACTCCAGCACGGAAACTGCATCATTAGAGAGGCATGTTAAAATGTGAGAGTGTTCACCTTCCCCCAAGTACATCCTGTGTAAGAATCCTGTGTTACATATGAAGAGCTTCCCACATGCTAGGCAAAGACTAAGTGCTTTACATGCATTAATCCATTTATTCCTTAAACCAAGGCAATGAGATACATTCTGACACTAACCTTATTTCATAGATGAGGGAACAGAGGCTCTCACTGGTAGAATAATTTGCCCAGTCACATATCTAGTATGTGGCAAAACGGATTCAAGCCCTGAAAGGCTGACTCTGGAACCCTTCATCCCAGGAGACACCTCCTTCCTTATGCTCCATCCTGCCCACTCATTCACTGATTGTCACCTTCATGCTTTACTTTTACACTCTTGCCATGTCAGAGTCAGTCATGGTTTTCTCACCGATTGTAGTCTTCATGCCAAGAGGTGTTCTTGACATCCAGGATGCCCCCGCGAACTGCTCGCAGAGTGTACAGATTTTTATGAAAGATGTCCTCAATCTCCAGCAAATTTCGTGTTATCTGAGGCCCCTGGGCACCAAAGAAGCAAGGAAGGGGACCTTGCTTGCCATCTTCCCAGCGGGCAAAATGGTACTGACAGTCACATACCTGAAAAGAAGACAGCATGAGAATTCCTGCTCTCCTTTCTGAACTTGTAAGCCCTGGGCTCTTTGATTTAGTTTTAAATATCTAAAACCTAGGAAGGACCAAACAGATGCAAGGGGCTAGTGGGATGCATTTTTGCTGTGGAATGAAATGTGAGATACTAAGGCAGTGATAACAGGCAAAAGTCTAAAAGATGGGGTGGTGGTAGGACACATAGCGATGCAGGAGGAGCCACAGAGATTAAGTTCTATGTTGAGCCTCTGCCCTAGCTCCCCAATTCCTGCATGGGAATTCTGGAGCATCTGCTGTCAGCTTTGATTCTCCTACCCTCATAGTCTTCCCACCTCAATAAGGTCCTTGCAGCGTTGCACAAAAGCATCAACCTGAGCAAATATGCTGGTCTGGTCTAGGACCCAGCCCCGACTGGAGAACCTATATTAGGAGAAAGACAGACCAAATCAAAAAGCAAAAACACTATATATCAACCTGCCTATGCAAAGCTAGAACTGGGATTCTGTGTTCAGGGTGGATACTTAGAAAATGAGACCCCATGAAGCAGTTTTCCTGAACCCTGAGAGAGGAAGCGTAAGGTGAGAAGAACCAGAGAGGAGACAAAGTGTCTCAGTTCTAGGAGAAGGTTTATGCATACATTGATGGAATTTCAGGCTTTAGAGCCAAGAAAGAAGGAAAAGACCAGGAAGGACTCCTGGGAGAAGAGGTGATTAGAGTGAGGAGAACCTAGAGTTGGGGCTAGAATATTTGTATCCAGAGAGCAAATCTGGATCCATGAAGAAACTCCCAGGTCTAGCAAAATATAAACCATAGGCTTAACAAAATAAGTGCAAATGAAAGGAGTCAGAATCTACCCTCTACAGGAATGACAAGGGGGAATATACGGAATGTCAAAGGAGACACATCATACTGGGTATGCATCTGCACAGCTTGCAAGTAATGATCTTTCCAAGCATGACAACAGGAAATGCAGCCTTGTAGGTCCTCCTTGCTAGAATTGACATATCCTTCAAAGATTCGGTCCAGGGAGATGGCATGGCAGCATAAGCGGATGATCTCATTGCTCATCTGCAGAAGGGGTCCCAACAGTCTCATTTCACAGCTTCAGTTGCACCCATCCCCTTCATGGAATCTCCCTGATGTGCCTCACATCTCAGCCACCTACTTCTTGATTTGACTCCTGATACCCATCTTGCCCAGGTCCTCCACTGCTGGTGGGCAGCCCCTCTGAGTTCCACCTCCCTCCCTGCCCTAGCCTGCCTCACAGCTGCTCTTCCTAGCCAGCATTCAGCGTCCTCCCACACTTCACCTCTGTCACTCCAAATGAAATGTGCCCAGTCCTGCTCCTCAAAAGCTGGTTTTCCTTCCTAAACCTTCCTCTCCCCCACTGCCATTTTCATCTTTGGAAATCAGAAGAAGAGGGTCTTCCCCTCCTGTAAACTCAGCCTTGGGAGTCTGTCCTTCCTGCTTCCCTCCGCGTGCTCCATCAGCTCCTCTTCTCAAAGCCCCTCTTCTTGCCTAGGCTACTTCCACCTGGGAGCAAAATGTGCAGCCCAGACTCCAACTCTGAGCATCACTAATGCTGACAGTGCAGACAGAAGCCTTTGGTCTCTGTGTGACCCGAAGGGTGCTCTTCACTGACTTTTCACTACAGATCTTCTCTTAAGAGAATTCTACCTTCTTTCCAAAGTCTGAATCCTGTCAACATAGACACCCTGTAGAAACCCTCTGTCTTACTCTGCAGACACATACCTTTCGGAAGAGGGAGGTCAGTCTCTCCCGAGTGTTGTAGTAGGGAGAGTTGACCCAGATGATTCGGATGAGACTGATCAACTTGGGAAGCTTACTAGAGATGTCCTTAGGGGGCATGAAGGCTAATTCCTGGTAAGGTTCCTTCAGGATTGACAAAAAAGTCAGGTTTGACTGTGCTTGACAAGAACCATCCTGGCAGTAAAGAGAAACCAGAAGTAGACTTACCCACTGGAAAGAACTGGTTCAAAGCAAGCACTTTTTATCAATCTGAACCCCATCCTGATCTGCCTCCAGGGGAAGCATTCCCCATTAACCCAATCCTACCTAGTACCAGTCATTCCAGGTCTCTGTAGCCCTCAGGACTTGAGTTTGCAATAATGAGTTTTATTCATTTACCAGTTTCTACAAAAGTATTTTCATGGCTTTTCTCATGTGTGAGTCCCATCTCCCCCACTAGACTGAGAGTTACCCAAATTCAGTGTTTTTTGTCTATTCCTCTAGTTCCTCCAGCTGAACTCAGCATTCTGCACAAAGTACTCAATAGCTGTTGATCAACAAACCAGACATGACTCCCATTTATCCCCATAGTTTTCACCATGATCCCCTTAACTGCCCTGTTCTCAACCAGGATTTCAGACTTCTCCATTAGCTGTGGCTCAACTCCCTTAATACCCAGCTTAAAATTCCACCTAGGGAGAGAAGTCTTCTCTCTCCATATTCTACAAATTGATCTTCTGTGTCCCAAAACCTACATAATCAGCTTGCCATACTAAATTAAATTTATTTTTAAGTGTTCATCTTATAACTCTTTTGGCCAAACCACATGGGTTCCTCTTTAGTCCCATGTCATCTAGTAATCCTATTTTGTGTAAGTCTTATTTTCTCGGCTGGATTGTAGGGGTTGGGTTTACAGAGGGTACTTAATGTATATTTGTTGATTACCATAACTAGCTGTCTCCCTACTAAACTATAAGCTCTTTGGGAACTTCCTTGCATTCTACTAGTTTTATACTCTTCCACCAGTTCAAGTTCAAACATTGGGTGGGCCTATCTTTGCTGTTGATGATTACATTGGCTCCCTCATCTCAGCATCCTATGTTGTCCCAAGCACTGTCCACTTTCTGCTAAGCCTCCATCCTTTGATCCATTCACAAACCTGGATCTGTTGGGCCAGTTTCATAAAGGGTGCCAAGTAGGATGACTTGGCAAGGCGCAGGATAGACTCAATGTGTTTCACTCCCTCCTTCACCAGCTGTGTACTAATGCCAGATAGGTCCATGCATCGGTTGCGCCAGAACTCAATCTCCTCCAAAGGACCTAAATTTTCTCCTGTCTCCACAGTCTCCTGGGCACTGAGCACCTCCTTTATCTGCCGGGTCCAGTGGATCATAGAGGCTTCAGGGGAGAACACAAAATCTCTTCATTTCTTTTCATTGCTCCCAGTTGTGCCCCCTACAGAGCCCCCGCTAACCCAACTGCTTTCTCACCACCTGGGCTGCCTTCTCTCCTCTGCCCTAGGATCCCCGATGCACTGGCAATGCCAGCCACTCACTCTCTAGCCGCTGCACCAGCTCTTTGTCCTTAAACACCACCTCGGGCTTCATCATCATGGCCTCTGCAGGGATGTAGAGAACAGTGTGCCCCTCCAGTTTGTACCGAGTATCTAAGGAAAGAGTAGGACCATGGAACTTCACAGACAAGAATGAGTTTATGTCACCCCAGTTCCAATCATGGTTGATGATCCGGGGCCCAAAAAGTATTTCAGGAGAGCAGGCAGGAGTAACTGACTGATTCTTTTTCGATATCAAGAGAAAAAAATGACAGAAGGCAAGAGGAAGACCCCATTGAGGTACAATAAAAGATTGTCATAATACAAGGTCAAAAATCCTTGCCCTCAACACTCTCTCCTATGATATATGCACTTCCCCTGGCCCTGACACTGTCTGCATTTCCCCTTACCCAACATGTACTCTTTGAAATTTCCAACTTAAAGTTTCAGAAGGTCTGGCCAACCATTCTACAGCAGAAAACTGTATCTGGATTGGAAGACAAATTCTATACCCTGTTTCATTCCTTCAACAAACACATACCAAATACCTACTCTGTGCCAAGCCACATAAATATTCCGCATGAATCTCCCACCTGCCTCATTAACTCTGCTGTTGGTGGGGCACAAGGCACTCAAGCCTTTCTGCTCACCTGTCAGGCAGGCCAAGAACCTGTGCAGATGAGAAGCAAAATGATTTCGAATGCTCTCAGGCCAGCTTGTGTTTGTAAAGACCTGAGGGGCAAAGACACCACTGAGGAGGCGAAGCAGGGCTGGGATATAGGAACCTCGAACTGTCCCAAACTGCACAGTTGCCTCAAAGTTTTCTGGAGTGATGGGAACCGGTGCTTGGCGAATAAAGTACACAATCTGGTTCTGCGTCTGCATGAAAGACAGTAAATAGTTCAGAGTTCAGTTACCAGGCCCAGCCATGATACCCAAAGGAAACTGAGGTTCCAATCATGAAAGCCTGGCCAAGTTCCCTGTGACTTTCTCTTAGCACATCCTGATCCTTCTACAAAAGTAAGTGTCATGAAGTGCTCCCTGCTTTTTGCAGGGACATAAGAGAGTCCATCTCCAGAGACACAGGGAGGAAATGCAGAGAGTATGCTTTTCATGCAGGGTAGAGACTGTATATTTTGACCAACTTTGCTCCAGAACCTAGCACACTAGGACATACCAGATGCACAATAAATGTTGGACAAATGGATGGATGGAATGAAAAGAATAGAATGAATAAAGCACTTTCAGATATAGGAAAAGCAGAAAGGAGGACTAGAAGAAATAGACAAATGTCTAGAATTCCCCATTATAGTTATACTTTTCTGCCAATTTTTCATTTATCCTTCAATTTTGTTTATGGTGAGTTTTTGTTGTTTACATTCAGAAATTTGTAACTTTCATGTAGTTAAAACTTTTTAAATTTAAAGTTTCTGACTTCAACATGCTTAGAAAGTTCGTTCCCATAAGATTCACCTTTGTTTTCTTTAGTGTTTTTATTACTACTCTTCATAATTTTTTGGTAGGGGTGAACAATGAAAGAAAGGTGGGACAACTGTAACTGAACAACAATAAAGTTTTAAAAATGTTAATAGATTTTAGAGAGAGAGAGAAGAAGTGAGAAAGAGAGAGAAACAATGATTTGTTCCACTTATTTATGCATTCTTTGATTGTTTCTTGTATGTGCCCTGACCAGAGATCAAACCTTCAATCCTGGCATGTCGGGACAATGCTCTAACCAACTGAGCTACCCTACCAGGGCATAATTTAATTTTTAAAACTGAAAATAAAGCACAAATAAGAAATTAATAATTACTCATCTTTCCACTCCTCAGAATTAAATTTTGACATTTTGTGTCTATTTTTCAAAAAGCTTAACAACTATTATATTTGTTAAATAATGTTAATTATAAATAACTGAAACAATGCAGAAATTTAAACAATGCATACAATTAAAATGTCATCTGAAATTCCACCACCCAGACAATGCTGTTTACATTAGAAAAAAAAAACAGTATTCCAAACATCTTTCTATAGATATATAATACAGAAAAATAAATTAGAATAGTTATTTCAAAATAGAATCATGCTACTTTTGAAAGTATTAAACTTAATTTATTTAATTTAACTTAACAATGTGAATATAATAAAGGAATTGATGAGCTTCAAATAAATTTTTCTTTACCTGTAAGAGAGATTTCTTCCTAAAAGACTATTTCTGAGGTTATAAGGGAGATTATGAAAAATATTAAGAGGTTAGTTTTCTCACTACCTTTCTATTTTAAATTATATTGACTTACTGCTTTGCAAGATAAGAGCATTGACATCCTCACACTCCCTCTCATTTTCTCACCACTTCCCAATTTTTGTTATGGTATTAGTTTTACATTGTCCAAGATGATGACATTCACAATCTATAGCATAACCATAATTCCCATGCTTATTCAGAGTATGAGTTATTTATTTAAATAAATTAAATGTTCATAGATTCTTTATCCCTGAGTTCTTTATTTGGTTCATTTCTTAATGAACTGAATGTTTGTTGATGACATATTTAAAGTACGGTTCTTTCAAGATTGAAAATGTCTGCCTATCTTGCCTTTACACTTGACCATCTAGGCTGGAAGTAATACCCTGAGTCACACTAACTTTCCTGGAGGTGTGATCTTCTGCATGCTCCAAGAAGTCTGAGAGCAGTCTGATGTTTCCCTTGGTAGGTAATTTTTTTTTGGACTGGAGACCTAAATAATTTTTCCCAAATTTTTATTTTGAAAAAAATTAATTTTTTGGAAAAAATTTTCAACCCATTAAAAAGTTGCAAGAAAAGTAGAATGAATAACAATATATCCTTCATCTAGAAGCAGCAGAGATATCATAATACTAATCCTTAAATACTTCACCATTTAGGCCTAGAAGTGAAGATATTCTCCAACAAACCTAACACTATAATATCCCACTAAAAAATGCATCTGCATATAACACTTTATAAAATATACAGTCCATATTCAATTTTCCCCAATGGTTCCAATAATGCCATTTACATCTGGTTTTTCCCATCCAGGATCCAATCCAGGATCACACACAGTCATGTTTCCTTATCCATCTTTAATTCCACATAGTTCCCCAGTATTTTTCTTTCTTGTATAGCACTGACATTTCTAATAGTCCAGGCCAGTTATTCCCAAAATGTCCCTCAATTTGGATTCACCAGATTGTTTTCTCATTACTAGATTCAAGTTAAATATTCTTGGCAGGAATACCACAATGAAATAATTTCCTTGAATTTTAGTAGCTTAGTTAAGGTATATATTGACATTCAACATTATGTAACAAATTTTGTGGAATAAAGAAACTTTTCATTTTCCAGAGTCAGTTCCTTCTGCAGTTCAGGGAAATTCTTTGTATTTAATCATTAAACTTATGTTCTGTTTGATTAGTTGGCTCTATCAGATCACCTGTGTCTGTCTTTCATATCTATTAACCTCTTATTGTTTGTCATTGTTTGTTTGTTTGTTTATTTTCTGAATATACTGTAGCTATCTCAAGCCTCTCTTCTATGTCAAAACAAGCTTTCCGGGATAGCTATTCAGTTCCTTACTGTTTCTAACCCACTAGGTTTTATAACATGCTACTTTCTTTTTTTTTTTTAGAGATTTTATTTATTTATTTTTAGAGAGAAGGGAAGGGAAGGAGAAAGAAATGGAGAGAAACATCAATGTGTGGTTGCCTGTCACATGTCCCTCACTGGGGACCTGGCCCACAGCCCAGGCACGTGCTCTGACTGGAAGTCAAAACCAGCAGCCCTTTGGTTTGCAGGCCACTCAGCCCACTAAGCCACACCAGCCAGGGCACATGCTACTTTCTTTATTTCCTAAAATCTGTATCTCCCTTTTACCTCATTATCATGTTTTATCATTTCATCCCTCTGCTTTTTAAAAAATTGATTTGTGTTTTTATTAAGTCATACTCTAACATGATGCTTTTGTGAGGAATTTCCATTATGTTTTCTTCTTTTGCATGCTTTGTTCTGTCTTTTTGTTTTGTTTTGTTTTTCCCTTGATGTCATATGCTTGCAGTTGCCATGCAGTTTCTTTTCACTTTCCTCATACTTGAGCAGCTCTATGAATTTATTCTTTTTGCTGTAATATACTGTGGGTGACTTCCTCATGTCCCACTGTGAGAGCTCAGTTTGTTTCCCCTTCAATGTTAAAGAGTTGAGTGCTTTGTTTTATTTACTTTTCTCTAGCCTAAAAGAATTGCATGAAGGGATAAGCAGCTGGTAAAGGCTAATTTAAAACAATGTAAAATCTTTGTTAAAATACCTGGCTTCTTTCTTTTCAGATTTTGTTAAATGCCCTACATCTAAACTTCACTCCTTACACTGGGGTTCACCATTTCTGAAGGGAGTATGATTTCCTTAACTCAGTGCCTAAACCTTTCATTGGCTACCACTTTTAAAGTTTATTAGATGTGATTTTACTTCTTTCCTTGTTTGTTTACTCTTGGGTGTTTTCTTCTGGTTTTACTTTTGCTTATTTTATCAAGTATGCAATGATAATTTTTTAAGGAAGTGTCAATCAGCCATCTTAACCCAGGAGAATATCATTAACTATGTGACCTATTTAGAATGTATTCCAGCATGCTAAATAGATTTTTTTTCAGCTTTAGTGGGGCATATTTAATAAATAAAAATTATACATACTTAAGGTATGGAACTTGATTTTTTAAAGATTTTATTTATTTGTTTGTTTGTTTATGAGAAGGGAGGGTGAAAGAAGGGAAGAGAAACATGGATCAGTTGCCTCTCACACACCCAGCTGGGGACCTGGCCCACAACCTAGGCATGTGCCCTGACTAGGAATCAAACCAACAATTTTCTGGTTCACAGGATACCCAATCCACAGAGCCACACCAGTCAGGGCTGACTTGATGTTTTGATATGTTATATACATTGTGAAATGATCACCAAAATCAAGCTAATTAACATATCCATATATCTCATATAGTTACCATTCCCTTCTTCCCTTCCTTCCTTCCTTCCTTCCTTCCTTCCTTCCTTTTTTTGTATGTGTGTGGTGAAAACACTTAAGATTTGCCCTCTTAGCAAATTTCAAGTACACCATCCAGTTTTATTAACTATAGTTACCATGCTGTATATTAGATCTAGAAACTTTGTATCCCTCCCCTGCAGTTTTACTGTGATGTAATCAACCTATAACATTATATTGTTAGTTTAAGGTGTACAACATGATTTGATATATTAATTTACTGCAAAATTATTGCTAAAAGTTCAGTGAGCATCTATCACCTCACAGTTATAAATTGTCTTATCATGAGAATGTTTAAGATCTATTCACTTAACAACTTTCAACTATACAATGCAAGATTGTTAACTATAGTCACCAACTATACATTACATACCCAGAACTTATTTATCTTATAACTGAAAGTTTGTACCTTTTGACCATTTTCACCCTTTTTCCCTGTTCCCTGACCCCCTGACTCTGCCAACCATCAATCTGTAATCTATTTCAACAAGTTAGAGTTTTTTTCCCCTAGATTCCACATATAAGTGAGATCAAACAATATTTGTCTTTGTCTGACTTATTTCACTGAGCATAATGCCCTTCAGGTCCATCCATGTTGTTGCAAATGGTAGAATTTTTTTCTTTCTCATTGTTGAATAATATTCCATTGTAATAATATCCTATTTCTTAGATTATTTGTCATTTTGTCAATAATATACATATCATTTATATGTATGTATATATATATAAACATTTTCTTTACCCATTTGTCATCCATCACTGGACACTCCAGTTGTTTCCATGTCTTGGCTATTATAAATAATACTACGATGAACATGAGGGTACAGATATCACTTCAAGAGAGTGATTTCATTCCTTTTAGATATATACCTAAGAGGGGAATTGCTGGATCATATGGTAGTTCTATTTTTAAATTTTTGAGGAAAAGCCATACTATTTTCCATAGTGGCTTTACCAATTTAATTGCCAACAAATGTTCCCCCCTTTTTTTTTTTCACATCCTCACTAATGTTTGTTATCTCTTGTCTCTTTGATAATAGCCATTCTAAAAGATGTGAAGTGATATCTCATTGTGGTTTTCATTTGCATTTCCCTGATGATTAGTGATGTTGAGCATCTTTTCACCTACCTGTTCACCATTTGTATACCTTCTTTGGGAAAACATCTTTTCAATTCCTCTGCCTATTTCTTAGTCAAATTATTTGTCATTTTACTGTTGAGTTGTATGAGTTCTTTATATTTTTTGGATAATAACCTCTTATTGGATTCATAATTTACAAAGATTTTCTCCTATTCCTTAGGTTTTCTTTTCATTTTGTTGGTTTCCTTTGCTGTGCAGGAAATTTTCCGTTTGATGTAGTTCCACTTGTTTGTTTTTGCTTTCATTGCCTTCACTTTTGGTGTCAGGAACTTTGTACTGTTTGACCAACATCTCCTCATTTCCCACTCCCTTCAGCTAACAGATTTTTTTTAGATTTTATTTATTTATTTTTAGAGAGAAAGGAAGGGAAGGAGAACAGAGGGAGAGAAGCATCAATGTGTGCTTGCCTCTCACACACACCCCACTGGGGACCTGGCCCACAACCCAGGCATGTGCCCTGACTGGGAATCGACCAGGCAACCTTTTGGTTCCCAGGCCCACCCTCGGTCAATCCAATGAGCTACACCAGCCAGGACTAAATAGAGCTTTTAATGGAAAAATGTTTTTCATGCTTCCCAATTCTATTCATTGAATAATTCATCCTTCCCCACTGATTTTAAATGCCATTTGTATAGAAAATGCTTGAATATATGGCTCTGTACATTCTATGTTGTTTTTTGCTGTGGCTTATATAATGTATATTGCTGCCCCAGTCCAACAGTTTGTAATTACTGTAGCTTAAGAAAAGATTTTCATATTCACAAGTCTCCTCCATTACTTTTCTTCATCATTTTTTTTTGCTATTTTCATGCATTTTTCTGGATATATTTTAAGATCCTTTATAGTTTATACAAGGTATCTAGGGACTGTGGTGCTTTGACTGTAGTTGCATTAAAATGGTACATTTTTTAGATGGAATGATCTCAATATAATACTGAGATTGCCACCCAGAAACAGGTATGGCTCACCATTTATTCAAATCTTCTTTCATGGCCTGCAGTGAGGTTGTTTTCTTTCATATAAATCCTACACATATTTTGCAAATTTTTGTCCCTTTAGTGAAAAAAATATTTTTTCATGATTTTTGTAGCTGATTATTGCCAATATACAAGAAAAATCCATAGCCTGTTTTTGCATTTAATATAAAATGTTTCACAAATGGTGCATTGCACAGGAGCATGCTCGTCTTCATTATCATTGCAATTTTTGTATATGTACTGGCAACAGAAGCAAAGCAATAGCCTTTTTCTTTTCCAACATTTTATTTCAAAAATTTTCAAACATACAACAAAGTTAAAAGAATTTTACAACATTGGCCTGTAAACCTACTGTGCAGATTCTACCACTAACATTTTACTATATGTCTTTTAACTGTCTCCCTACCCATGGTTTACTCTTCACTAATGTATTCTCCCCCTTGTTGAAGTACTTATCTATCTAATTCATGAAAGCCTTCAATATTTCCCTCTGGGACAGAGATCAAATTCTTTATTTTCTTTATTGATATTTTTAATTGGGAATTTTATGGAGAACTTTCCTCCATGTAATTCCCTTTATTCTTTTTTATTTTTTAAGCCTTACCCAAGGATCTGCTCATTGATTTTAGAGATAGGGGAATGGAGGGAGAGACATAGAGGGAGAGAAACATTGGTCACCTCCTGCACAACCCTGAGTGCAGACCAAACCCACAACCCAGGCATATGCCCTGACTAAGAATTGAACCTATGACCTTTCAGCTCACGGGACAATACTCCAACCAACTGAGCCACACTGGCCAAGGCTATTTATTAATTTTTTAGAGAGAGAGGAAGAGGGAGAGAGAGAGAGAGAGAGAAAGAAATGTCAATTTGGTGTTCCACCCATCCATATATTCATTGGTTGACTCTGCATGTGCCCTGACCAGGGATCAAACCAGCAAACCTACATGCCTTGGCATGTAGGCATATAGGGGCAATGCTCCAACCAACAACTGAGCTACCCAACAAGTGTGAGGCCAAATCCTTTGCATAACATACAAGGCCCTTCACAAGCTGACCCCAACCCACTTTTTCAGTATCATTTTCCACAACTCCTCTCTTCTTTGCATGTAAAGTGTTCTTTACCCAAACAGCTCTTACCCAGCCTCAATGAAATCCTACTTAGCTTCCATCCCCAAATCAAATATCTTCCATCACCAAGTGTTGCCTGCATTCCCCTGGCTACCTTAGTTGCTCCCATAAAGCTCCTATAAAGCTTTGTTGTGCATCATAATATATTGTACTTTTTATGTCTGTCTTCACCATTAGACCACAAGATCATCAAAAGCAACAGCCTACTTTATTCCTCTCCGTATCCTGCTACCAAGAAGAGTACCTGACACACCATGAGGCTCAGTAGACCTTGGGCACAGAAGACAAGACTAGAAGATGACAAGGATACACAGAACCCCCAGCTCTCTGAGAGACCACCTTGGAGTCGGGAAAGTGGAGTACCTACCTGTACAGGCATGCCCAAATCTAGCTTCAGCCCTGAACAGGGGTCGATGAAGATGGTGAGGATGGGCTCTGATGGGTCCTGGGCAAAATGTTCCAGAATGGTATCATGCTCTTCTGTCCATTTGGCATCTGCTAGTCCTGTCAGCATAGCTCGGGACAGAAAAAGGGGCTTCTACAGAAGGAGAACAGAGATCCAAAAAAGGCACAGCTGTTAGGATGAGTCATTTCTCCCATCCACAATCACATGTGAAGACATGTGATTCAAGGAAGGTTATCCTTCCTCAGGATATTTTCTTCCCAAGATATTTCATTTATGCCTGTGGTTATAAATACGTATTGTTAAGCAACCCTTAACCTTCAAATCAAACTAAATTAAGGGAACATGTAGGATATTAGTCTAAATCAAGGGATTAGAAGAAGATGACAAGGCTTTTTGATAAGGGTACAAAGAGCAATTGTAGCAGCTTCCCCAAGATACTGAAATAAGTATAAAATATTGGGTAAAAGTCGATTGGCATAGCAGTAAGGAAGAAGTGAGGGGGAAAGAAAGCACCAAAGAACAAATCATTTAGATGGAACATAAATTGTAACTGATAGCTAGGAAAAAATTAATCTGTAGAACTCTACTAAATAAATTAAGGAAACTAAAAGATATAAATATATAGCTCAGTGAACTTGAGAAGCCACCTTGTCCTTCTCCCAGTGAGAGAAGAAATCTCTTTAATTTAAAGTTTCTGGGTCAAGCCCTGGCTGGTGTGGCTCAGTTGGTTGGAGCATCACCCCATACATAAAAATGTTGGAGGTTCAAATCTCAGCCAGGGCACATGCCTAGGTTGCAGGTTCAATCCCTGGTCAGGGTGTATGTGAGAGACAACCAATTAATTTTTCTCTCTCACATCGATGTTCTCGCTCTCTCTCTCTCCCCTCCTTCCTCTCTCTCTCTCTAAAATCAATAAACATATTTTTTAAATTTTTGAATAAAAAATAAAGTTTCCAGGTCAAGAAAACTTAGACTATGATCTAAAATCTTTCCTACATTAAAACAAAAATGAACCAATGAGAAAAACACTAAGACCTCAATAAATATGTGGGCAAAATGATTGACATGTCATGTCAAAAAAAAGAAAAAAGAAAAATATGAAAAAACACTCAATTTCAGTTGAAACCAAAGAAATACAAATAAAAATAGTGAAGATACATAATTTATTGCCTATAATTTTTAAAAAATCCTTGCTAGCCCTGGGTGGTATGGCTCAGTGGATTGAGCACCAGCCTGCGAAGGGTTGCTGGTTCAATTCCCAGTCAGGGCACATACCTGAGTTGCGGGCCAGGTCCCCCATTGGGGGTGCGCAAGAGGCAACCACACATTGATGTTTCTCTCCCTCTCTTCTCCTTCCTTTCTCCTCTAAAAATAAATAAAATCTTAAAAATATGTATTTTTTTAAAATCCTTGCAAAATTGATAATACCCAGGCCTGGAAAGGGTTTGTTGCTAGTGTGAGAGCAAAAAGAGTGATTCATTTCGAAAACATCTTGGCATTACATATTAAAATCATTAGAAATGTTCTTTACTCCTTGATTCAGTAAGTCCACATACAGGAACCTAAAAAAATATTAAGTGTTCCAAAATGTGCTACTTTTAATTACAATATTCATCACAGTATTATTATGAAAGCAAAAATTAGAAATGGCAAAATGTCCAAGAGTCATGATTTAACTATGGTATATATATTTAACTGAGCACTTTACAGCCATTAAAAGTGGTGCTTACAAAAAAAGTATATTATAATAACATGAAGAATGATGAAATGTTTTCATAAAAAAGCTTAACAAGAATTATAATATATGGTACAATTAGGCTATTTTTTTAAGCTTGCAGACTTATACACTGAAAGAAAAGACATGTGCTAAAGTATTAACATTGAATGAGTTTAGGCAGTAATGCTATGACTTTTCTTTCCTCTTTCTTTGTTTGACTTGTCAGTCCCTTCCAATGTTTTCCGTAATTAGTAGTTATTACTTTTCTTTCACTTTAAAAAAATTTCAAGGTCACCACTCCATTCTTCTAACCCCAGTGTCTATGGGTATGGCTAGGCTTTGATGCAACTTGGAGATAAAAGTATAAGGGTCATTTTCTAATGATGCCAACTTCTAAAAGTGCTTGAAGTGGCTTCTGTAAATTCTTCTGCCAAAGGAGAAAACTGGAAGAAAAGAAGGAAGAAAATGTCTTAAAAAAAAAAAGTAGTATCCCATTAGGACGATACTCACCAGCTTTTCAACTTGTTCAGGTGTTCGCCCATACATTTGATAAAGTTTGTCAACGTTTTACCCAAGGTGGGCAGACAAGGAAGGGACAGCTAAGAGGCCTGTTCCTCACTTAAAACACTCTTCTTCATTGGGTGGGGTGGGGGGCACAGATAACTTTGCCCTTTACCTGTCCTGGATTTGTGATAAGTGAACCAGATTTGTGGTAAGTAGGCTACCAGTAAAGAGAAGGAAGTGACAGACTGAAGAGATTCTTTACACACTATATGACAACTAATCTTTTGATTTACCTTTTGCTGGAGAGGAATATTTGTCTCAAGGAGAACCCAAACTTACCACATCCACTTCAGGCTCCTGTAAATTTTCTTTTTGTACTTCAGATTCCTCCAATGCTGCCTCTGGGAAAAAATAAAAATTCAAAAAATAAAGATATTCTTTAAAAAGTTAAACACAGAGCCATCATATGACCCAGCAACTCCCCTTTAGGTATATATGCAACAGATTTGGAAGCAGGTACTCAAACAGATATTTGTATGCCAATGTTCACAACAGCACTATTCACAGCAGCCAAAGGTGGAAACAACTGAAGTGTCCATCAATAGATGAATAGATAAACAAATTGTGGTGAAATATTACTCAACCACAAAAAGGAATGAAGGATTCAATGCTACACCATGGATAAACCTTGAAAACACTAGGTTAAGTGAAAGAAGCCAGTCACAAAAGACCACATATTGCATAACTCCAATTTCATATGAAATGTCCATAACAGGCAAATTCATAGAGAGAGGAAGTAATCAGTGGTTACCAGGATCTAGAGGAAAGGGTCATAGGGAGTGACGGCTAAAAGGCTAGGTTCTGATGCAACTTAGAAGGAAAGATATAGGGGTCCTCTGGTACTAAATTCTCAAGCTTGAAGTGGCTTATTGAGAGTAAGATGAAAATCCTCAAAAATTAGATAGTGGTGATGGTTGACAACTTTGTGAATATACCAAAAATCATTGAATTGTTGTCTTTAAACGGATTAATTTTACATATGTGAATTATATCCAATTTTCTTTTTAAAAGTTAACTGGAGCTGGAGGGGCAGGAGAGACAGGGGAGTAAGTGCAGTCAGTACTAAGGTTATTCTAGGCATTGAGCTTCTGGCTTTCCATTCTTCCCCAGTCCTCTTCCCACTTGGGGAAGTTGGGGTCCACAGAAATCAGCCGCTCTCCAAACAACTACATTGCTGGGTACTCACTTCTGCCACACTCACTCTGGAACCCCCTTAAAAACCAGGAGGGTGTTTCTTACCTGATCTCTCCTGACCCAGAGGTACCTCCTGATCTGTTGCTCACAGAGGACACTGATTCTGTAAAATTGGTGAGCTTCTCATCTCCCATGAGCCAAAAGGGGGAAGGAATAATGAGATGGAACCAAAAGACTATGGGAAACAGAAAGAAAAACTAGGAGGGGAGTGAGGCACAGAGGCCAAGAACGAAAATAGTGAAAAACGTGGAGTAGATGATTCCAGGAGCTTTGTGGTAAATGGGACAGGTAAGAAACTTCTTACATTTGAGAAAACTGAGGGCATTCAAGATTTCACATAAGAACTAGGCCAGGGGAGGGAAACTGAGATGATCTTAAGAGTAAACTGGTTTTGTCTTTAGACTTTATATAAAGTCTAAATCATGCAATACAATACTAGTATATAATGTCTGTGGGTACACACAGTAATTTTTAAAAACAAGCTTGAGAGTGATAAACACCAACTCAGGATAGTGGTGACCTCTGGAGAAAGAGAGAAGGGCTTTGGGGGCAGGGGCAAACAGAGGGATTTCCTTGTATTTCCTTGTTAATAAATAATACTATTTATTCTTACATTGGCTGATGGGTACATGGGTGTTCATTATATTATTCTCTATGCTTCTTCTAATTTGCCTGAAATATAAGTCAATAGTCCCTTATCCAAAACCCTTGAGGTCAAGTATATTTCACAATTTAGAACTATAATATAGTATGGAATGTAATAGTACCCACCCCCAGATGGCTCTAGAACAGCACTGCACAAACTTTTTTTAAAATCCTCACCTGAGGATATGTTTATTAATTGTAGAGAGAGAAGGAGGAAGAGAAAGAAACATCCATTGGATCGAACCCACAACTAAGTATATGCCCTGACTGGGAATCAAACCTACAAACCTTTGGTGCATGGGATGACACTCCAACCAACCAAGCCACCTGGCCAGGGTGAACTTTTAATATTAGTAGTATTTTTGCAGTAAAACATAAAAATTTATATGAAGCAGCTTAAATAAACTATAAATACCTTCATAATAGTTTAGGTTGTGTTTTACTACCAAATAAGTTTGGATGCCAAACTTTGGCGGGGGGGAAACTTTTAGTTCTTAGGGCTTTTTAAAATTACAGATATGGGATTAGAAACCGGTACTACTTCTTGTTTTCTTAATGAGGAGCACGTAAGGAAGCAAAGGATGTCAATAAAGACCTCAAAAGGATGTTTGCCCACCATCTTTTTCCAAGAAGTATTTTCAGCCCTGTCTTAGCCTGTCCAGCAAAATACCACAGACTAGGTAGCTTATAAACAGCATAAATTTATTTCTCACAGTTCTGGAGGCTGAAGTCCTAGGTTAGGGTGCCAGCAGGGTCAAGTAAGGGCCCTCTTCCTGTCACGGACTTCTCATTGTGTCTTCACACAGCAGAAGGGGGCAAGGGATCTCTCTGGAGCCACTTTTATATGGCTCTAATCTCATTCATAACAGCAGTACCCTTGTTATTTAAGCACCTCCAAAAGGCCCACCTAGTAGTACCATCACATTGGCCATGAGGATTTCAGCATATGAATTTCAGAGGAACACAGACATTCAGACCATAGCAGACCCCCTCTATCTGTAGTGGGACAGGCCTCAATCCCTGACCAGCTTCAAAGATTATGGGAATTAATGTTCATTTCAGGACTGCCTTGGTGGCCAAAGTCTTCTTTGAACCTCTATCAAGGTTACAAATCAGCTGGAAAGCTTCACACCAAATACTAAAAAGGCTTAGAGACAAGACAGTAAGAGATCCTTGGTATTCAGTGGTCAGAGCTTTCATTTAAAAGCTCCTTCTCTTTCTACCCCAGAGAATTCTCCAAATTGAACCTAAATGCTTTCTTTCCTCCATCAGCCTATTCTTGGTACCCAGCTTCTGGAGCCAGTCCCATTTTAAACTACTTTCAAGAGACCTCAGAATAAAAAAACATTGCACATTTCTCATGTCTGGATCCTAGGGCAAGGCCCCATGTACCCTGGACCTTTCTCCCATACCCATGCTTAATCTCTCAACCTTTAATGTGAAAAGGGAATGCTATTTCTCTCCATCTTGACTGGTTGTTAGCAATGAAAAGAAGCCCCAGATAGCCCTGACTAGTGTGGCTGAATGGATTGGGCATTATCCTGCAAACAGAAAGGTCCCCAGTTTGATTATCAAACAGGGCAGATGCCTGGGTTGCAGACCAGGTCCCTGGTTTGAGGTGTGTGGTTGGGGGAGGTGTGGTACAAGAGGCAACTGACTGATACATTTCTCTAGCGCAATGATGCTTCTCTCTCTCTTTTTCTCCCTCCCTTCTCCTCTCTCAAGGGAGGGAGGGAGGGAGGGAAGGAAGGAAGGAAGGGAGGAAGGAAGGAAGGGAGGGAGGGAAGGAAGGAAGGAAGGGAGGAAGGAAGGAAGGAAGGGAGGAAGGAAAGGAGGAAGGAAGGAAGGCTGACCCCAGGTAAAAGAAGAGGACTGTACTTAGCTTCTGGTCACATCTACACTGGCCTGTGCTCTAAGGAATAGCCCAAGTAACAGCAACAACTACCAAAAGCCTTCCAACCCTACTGGTCCCAGCTCATCTACAGGGAAGAAATCATTCAGATCAAAGCCACAAGAGGCAGCCTCTTTAAACTCTTTTCTCCCTCAATCTAGACCTCATGCTTCTTTTCTTGTGGCTCTGAACCTGAACCTCCTTAGTCTACCAAAGCCCTGCCAAATAAGGGTGGAGATACAAGAACCTCAAACAGATGGGAGAAAGCATCAGTCAGGCTTAGGATTCAAAGGATGGCAAAGCAGACTGTCTCCATGGTGATGGGCTTAATGGGAGAAAAACATTATTTGTTTTGCCACCCAGGGTGAAAGTGGGAAAAGGGAAGAGATCAAACCCTCTCCACTGGGGTAGGAACAACCATGAACATTTGAATAAGGAGGAAGAGGCTAAAATAAAGGATTGGCTGGTGAGCTTTTAGTATACTGAGGGAAATTTTAAAGATATAATGAACAAGCATAAGTCTCTCCTGAAAGAAACACAAAAACGGGACCCAGTGTCAGGCCTCAGATTCTGCTGACACCCCTGCTTCTCACCCAAAAGCAACAGAAACTGTTCTCCAGCCCTAAGACCCTCCTGAAATACAAACACTCTGAGGCCCTGGAAGCATGTACCCACCAGAATCCTCCTTGAGAGGCTCCAGCTCCAGCTCGGGCTCACTGGCAGGCAGGGTAGCATCCCCAGCCTGTGCAGCTGGAGCACCCTGAGCAGCTTGCTTGCGGGTACTTCCCCAGCCACTCACTTTCCGCTTCTTCTCAGGTTTGCTGGACATCACGTAGCCAAAGCCTGCAGACACACAGGAAGCTGGGAGTCCATGGCCAAATCCACCTCAACCCAAGCCCCTGAGACTCGAAGTTCCTTTTGAATTCACAAATTAACTGAGACCCCCAGATAACATCCTATCTGGGAGTATCCATGCCCTGCTCCATTAATCACAACGGTCTTGTAGTCCTCACTCCTTTCCCTAGGATATCCCACTTTCTTCAGAGCATTGGGTTAAAAATCAAAGTCATCCCTCAAGGCATTAGGAATATGAAAGTTAAAGATGGTGGCCCAACAGTCAGCCCATCAGTGAGGTTTTAGGAACCCCTATCTCTGCCCAGAACTATGAGAATGTGAGATAATCCGGAAAATATATACAAAGCTGAACCCCTCAGAGACATGGTTGAGTGAGAGAAGACCCAGGGAAGGGAAGATTGTCCCCAGGTTCTCTACCCTTTGCCACTGTGTCAAGTCAATGAAGCAAAAAGTGATTTTCCTAAGTACCTCTTTTCCTCCTAAGTTACCCCTAGGAGGGGGGAAATGTCTAAATGCTCCTGCAGCTCACACTAAAACCTGCAACTTCCTTAAATAAAGAAAAATCACATTTGCAACATGTCTTAGCTTTTCATTCCTGAGTGTTAGGAACCCTGGTTTATGTGTATTGAAAAGGTCTCAGTACAGTTTGGCTGAGTAACTCTGTGCTGACTGATAATGAAAACCAAGATCATTTGACTCCAAATGCCCTGAGAACAAATTGGAAGAAGGAAGGACAAGTCACCCAACACTGAATTTCAAATTGTGTCTGGGGAGAAGAAAATGGGAGAATGAGGAAGACCACAGTTGTGCCCCTCTCAGGAAACAGGATGGCTGGAAACGGGCATCTCTGGCAGGCGGTCAGGATCCCAAGGGCAACGTCTAATTCACTGGGCATTCCCTCTCCATATAGCTATCTCCTGACAGCCACTCGCGGTTTTCCTTCCTCATCCCCACAGGCTGCCGCAGGCATTGATCATAGGTTGAGTTTCAAACCTGAAGGATTTGTACTTTGCTCCAAGGAGAAACGTTCTATTAGGCCAACACATCAATAAAACCAACTATAGCAGCCTGGCTTCCCTTCCCCCACTGGTCTCCAGAGAAGCGTCAGGCTGTGCTCCTGCCTCCAGTTGGAGCCTCAGGAGCATTCCGCAGGCAAGGTTGCCCGCCCCCTCCCCATAGGGCTCACCCCACGATCACATGGCAGGCCTCAGGAGGAGCTGTTCTATTGGCCTGGGACTCATTCTATTACTCACAATTAAATTAAATACCGTAGGGAAGTGGCCCTCTCAAACTGACTACCAGTGGGCAAATTTCCTCTCACAATAGCTTCCTCACACAACTGTCCCCGCTTCTTCATCTCAACCTCAATTGCCCTTTCTCTCCCCTCTCCCCACAACTGTCCCTTCCTCCCCTCACAACTGCCCTCGCAATTGCTCCTTCTCTCCCCTAACTGCCCTTTCCCATTCCCACAGCTGCCCCTTCCTCCCTCCCTACAACGATCCGTCCTACCCGCTCACCACCGCCCCTCTCCCCTCAACTTCCTACTTCACCCTAGCATTCCTTTTACTCTCCAGTCTACCCCCGACACACACCTCACCACGCCGACCCTCTCCTAGGCCGACTGATGGGCCACTCCAGCTAACAAGTAGCCCCACTCCGCCCTCTCAGATCCGCGCGGGCACGCGTCGCCATAGAAACCCTGGGCAGGGAGGGGCGAGCAGCCGCGGTGCGCTACCGGAGCCGGCCTCCTCCGCGCAGGCGCAGTGAAGATTCGCTCTGTTGCCCTACTGGGCTCGGGTCTGAGGGCAAGAGGTTTGGGTGCGAGGGAAGCCACTAAATGTAGCAGGCTGGAGGGTGCGTGGAGCTTGGCCTGAGGTTGGGGCTCAAAGGGATGGGGCTGAAAACAATGAGCTCCCTTCCCGCAGGACGCTAAAAAGGCCGGAGGAACCCAAGCACCCGCCCCGCGCTCGGGGCCTGAGGGCTCCATCCCAAACGAATCCAGCAGAGGGCGCCCGAGGTTCCGCCTAGGAGGCTTATTGGAGCTTTAGAAGGGGCTCCAGGATTTCGAGGCAGCCGTGGCTGCAGCTGGGTACGGAGGAAAAACCGGGGCTGGAGCACCCCAGCCCTCCCGCTCGCTCCCCCTTCTTAGTTCGGACTGGGGTCTAGGCTCGCCCGACAGCGTGGGGCAAGGAAAGGGAGGGAAGAACGGAACTGGAATTTTTGGAATCTGAGGATTGGCTTTGGAAATGGTCGCTCATTTGGGGGGGTAATGGGGGGGCGGGGACTCCCCGGGGAGGGTGACCTGGCCGGGGAGGCGCACGGCTTTCCAGAAGAACAAAGGTTGAGCCCTGGGGAGGCGAGAAGAGAGAGGTGTTAGAGGACTGTTATCCCTCAACCGCTGCTAGGGGGCGCTGCGCGCCGGGGCCGCAGAAAAAGGTGCCTAGAAGACTAAGTTGTACCTGAAGCCGGAAGAAGCTTCAAGGAAACCTAGGAGAGACCGGGAGGAAGCCACCCAGAAGAATGGGAAGGCACCCTCCCTGTTCCCATCGATAGTTCCTAATTAACCTCTGGCTGGTGTGGCTCAGTGGACTGAGTGCCAGCCTGCGAACTGAAAGGTGGGTGGTTCCAGACCCAGTCAGGGCACATGCCTGGGTTGCTGGTCAAGTCCGCAGTTGGGGGAATGTGAGAGCCAACTGAATATTTTTCTCCCTTTCTTTCTCCCTCCCTTCCCCTCTCTCTGAAAGTAAATAAATAAAATCTTTTTTTTTAAATAGTCCCTAATTAAGACAAAGCCAGCAGCGAGCCCACTGATTGCATTTCCATGAGGAGCTAAATTGATAACTTTTTTTTTTGCTGGAGGAGGAAAGGGAAGCTGAGGTGGATGTTCCCTGGTGGGTGTTCACATCTGACAGGTCTCATTATGCCAGTCTGGCACTGAGAGGCGTGGCAGTCTCTGATACTCCTGAAGAGCCAGTGGATTAACCCACACCCAGACCCAACCCTGACCTCACCATCCCACCTACCCTATCTTTATTTCCAGAATTAACAGACCTTGTCCTTGACACCCCACAACCGTTATTTTTAAGGTGGATCTCTGGGCTCTGATTTGTGACCTACTGCCCAGCCCAAACTCCTGTTATTGAGAGCAAGGATTAAAAGAGAGGGTTCCTGCCACACTCTAAAACCAGCTGCACAGCAAGCAAGGTTAAGTGGGTGATCCTCTAATCAGATAGGCAGTGGGTGGCACAGAGAGTTAGCATAATTGGTTAGATCCCCCAGGGAGAAGTCCCAAAGGAGTGAAGATTTGGGGGAAGGCCTGGGGTAGGGTGTCTTATAGTCCGGGCTGATGGCTCCCTCAAGGTAAGGAATGTCATGTAGACTTCATTTCTTTTCTGACTCCAACTTGGTTGTGCCTAGGGATCTCAGCCCTCTACATTATGCTAAACAGGTAATCAAACATCTCGCTTTGCTAATTACTGTTCAATCCGATTAAACGCTGCTGAAGCTCATCAACAGAGGTGGAGATAGGGGGAAGGGATGAAGTGGGGCCAACCACAGCTGTGATGGGGGCCTCCCCAGGGGCTCTAGGGGACAGCTGAGAAACAGCCTGGGTAGCAAGACTCGGTACTTCCCAAAGAAAAGGGGTAGAAGGGTTGTACCAGTAAGACTGTCTTACTGCATCCTCCCCACCTCAGGCTTCTCCCTCCTCCCAGAACCTTCATTACCCTCAGAACCCAGGCATCTGGCCATTCCCACAGCTCCACACACACACCCCTGTCCCAGCTTTAATAAGTTCTGTTCTCTCACAGTCAATATTTGATTTCTCAGAGCCATCTCCACGGAGAGAGGGGAGCTCTTCCCTTGCTTCCCCCCTATCCTGGCCCTCTTTTGGCCACCCCAGTCTCTTTGTGCCCCCAATCTTCTCTGAACTAGCTGACTTAATGAAATGATATTAAAGTCTTAAGCAACTCCAAAAGAATGGTTGTTATGGTGAGGGGAGTGGGCAGGACGCCTGGGTCCCTGAGGGGAGCAAGGGCTAAGGAGGGGGAGAGTGAGCCTGAGGGTCTGGAAGCCCCAGTCCCTAATGGGGAGCAACAGATTTGAGGTGAGCTGGGGGCCAGACCTCTGGATCTTGGTGGGAAGCTAGAAGTGAAGGCTGGGGCCAAGGAAAAGGTGGGAGGAGAGGACATTCAGGGGATCAAGGTCAAAGCCTGCTGGCCAGAGCATGTCAGGGATGGAGAGGCTAGCTGGCGGGGACACGGCCTCTGTGCCAACAGCCTCCCTGCTGACTGTGCCCTGGGACAGTCCCGTGAGAACCAGAGAACATTCCTCTTCATCCCTGACTCATCCCTCTTCTCCCATAATCACCCCCCAGCAGACCCCCACAGGTGATTTGTAGCTGATGCTCTCATGAGGGTAGGAGCCAGGAGAGAGTCATTCCATGACAGGGAAAGCTGAGAGCCTCCAGGAGAAGAGAGCTTAGAGGCCAAGAGATGGGAAGCCAAGCACCACCCCCACCTCCCCCTACCCATCCCCATCTCACTCCCCTGGGGACCCTGGCCCAGCCCCAGTCCCCTTGGGGTGGTGGGAATGCAAGGACATTTGGCTGGGACTGATTGATGAGGGAGGAGGCAGCCACTGGGCACTGAGGCTGCTGTTTGCTGAGCACACAAGATTCCTCCCCACTCACCAGCTGCCGCCCCCTGAGGCTGCTCAATCTCACCCCCACCACCACCATCCTCTGGGGTTGGAGGGAGCTGATGCCTAAGTTTCTGATGGCAGTTGGGGGAAGTGGAAGGACCAGGACACTGAATGCTTGAATTCCCTGTGAGAATTGGGGGTACCTGGAACCTGGTCCCCACAGAACTCCCTTCAGGACTTCACCTTCCTTGCTACCTTCCAAACTTCACTTCTGCCTTTCACTCCCGTTTATACTGGATCCTTTTTCCTACCTCCACCCAATTCTCTGAGTCCATCTCAGCCAGCCCCAGCCTTCAAACTGCCCTGCAACATTTCTCCCACTCTGCCTTACAGATCCGGAAACTCTCCCTGGGGGAGGGGGTACCCCACGTTTGTGATTGCCCATGTAGCCCCTTAGGAAGCTTCATTTTTAATTTTCACTGATATTCTAGTTTATGATGTCAACCAATGATTCCCCATCAGAAATTCCCATTGCAACTCTTTGCTCTATTCACCTTAAAACCCCCAACATAATCCACATACACAAACACACACCTCAACCTCATTTATAACCTGCTTGTGTTTGGAAGGATGGCAAATCTGTGCTTCTGTATGCAGCACAGCCCCCAGGACAGCCTCAATCCTGTGGTGCTGGGATGGGGGCAACTTTCACTTCTGTGGTCACCGGGCCTCTCAGTTTCTATACTTCCGCTGTGCCTGCCAGCTGATTCTGTACCAGCAGCCAAACCACAACTCCCAAGTTCAGAACACCTTCCCTGCCCTCCCAGAACTTAAAATTTAGTTGAAGAAAATACATCTTACATACACACAGGAAACAAAGGGGGGTGGAAGATTGAGTTAGATCAACTTCCTAAATGTGGATTCTAGACCCTAAGTGACCTACAGGCAGGGGCTGGGAAAGAACAGCACACACCTGGGTTTTATGTGAAGTTGTGATCCCTTCTAGCTATTTCCAAACACGTGGAGATTTCACCTCTGTGCTCTGCACTTGCTGCTCCCTCTGTTGGGTATGCCCTTCCTCATACTGCATGGATTACTCCACATTTTTCAGGGTCCTTATTAAATGTCACCTCTTCAGAGACCTTCCTGACCTAATCTAAAGCATCTCCTTATTACTCTTCATCCTCTTCAACCCATTACTGTTTTTGTTTACATCATTTACCATCACCAGAAATTCTATTATGTTCCCCACCAAAATGTGGACTTCATGAAAGCAGGGACTTTCCTTACTCAGTACTTGGAACAAAGTAGACACTCAATATGTTAAGTGAATGAATGAACCAAAGAACCAACAAATGAATATCTTTTTGCCTTTCTATTCGCTTTGTTTTGTTACTGTAGGAATGGGTTTGTGCATTTATCCTCAGAAAGTGAATAGGATGGCATGGGTTGTTCTGTGTGAGAATCACCACCAGCACTTTCAAATAGCTCTGAAGATACAAAGTCACTACATGCATGGAAGGCTGTATGCCTTGTGTCGTTAATGTTGGCAGCAGGGAGGTGGGAAGTCTACAGATATCAGTGTTCCAAGGGGGTGTGTCCCAGGGTGCTATGTAAAATTCACTGTTTCTCTCCCCAGCTGTGCTTCTGTCCCCAGGTGTCTTCCTGTCTCTCAGCATGTTATGATGTCTTCGCTTTGGTGAGGTGTTTGTCATGGAGAATGTTTACCCCCACTCTCTTCCTTCTTGTCTCCACCTGTGTCTCTAGATGTATGTGTAGGGGGAGTCTCCCTCAGCTCCCTTGCCCCCTCTCACTCACAGCCCTGCCCGAGTCTTGGACCCCTCCCTTTCTCACTGGGCCCTGTTGCTGGGTTCTGGGTTGCTATAGTGACGGTTGCCAAGTCCCTGAGGCTGATAGCCAGCGATGGGGCTGTCGGCTTCATCCACGAGGGAAGCTGAGGGGGGCTTCCCATTGTGTGAAGAAGGGGATGTTGCTATGACAACAAACCCCCACTAAGGGGCAGGGACCAGCCCTTCCACAGCCCCTCAAGCCTCCCTACCTTGGGCAGCTCCAGTGTGGGCTTGGAAGGCAAGAGTACATTCTAGACAGCCAGCACCTGGCCTCCCAGTTTTCAACCTCCTTCCTACAGTGCCTGCACCTCTCAGGATCCAGGCATCTCACTCAGACAGGGGAAGGGGCAGGGGACCTACTGGACAGAGGAGGTGCAGGAGGACCCCTTGACCTCCAAGCAGATGGGAGACAGCGGGAGAGAACCTAGAGTCAGGATAGGGGCGGGTAGGGCAGAGGTTGTGACCCCTGCCAACCAGCTCCAACGATGCTCCTGACGGCTGCTTTTGTGGTTGGAGAATGGAGCTGAGTCTCGGGGGTTGGGCACCTTGGTTCTTTAAGGGAAAAGAGCCTAGGTTGTGCGTACAGGGAGCCAGGAGAGAAGGAGTTTTAGTCTTCTGGGCAGCCACACCTTCTCCTCAAAGCAAAACGCCCAGTCACAGGTGTCTTAGGCAGCGATGGTGGAGAATAGACTCTATGTTTTTTCCTACTTTGTTTCTGACTGTGATTTGCCTTATCTCTAATGCTTTGGTTTTAGCAATGGACACTCAGGCTTTTCCCACGTGTGAACTTACATTCACATACATCCCCACCAGATGTTATTAGCAATTCCCCCTCCTGCTTGGGTTCTTCTCCGCCTGCCAGAGAAGGCCTTCCTGGGCCTTCTCACCCAGCGCATTACCCCCTCCCCCAAGGCACTGCCCACCTCACCCCTCCAACCCAACCCTCTTGCTACCCTTCCCTTTGGTTTCATGCAATCCAACCCTCAGCTTGAAAGCCATTCTATTCACCAGTCCTTCCCAATTCATGTCCAGTCATTCTCCAGCCTTCTCATTAACTTTTGAAGTTTTTTATTCTTTTTTTGGTTTTTGTTCTTCAAATTTCCCTTTTACAGTAAAACTATTGAGGTGACAGCCACACCCTGCCACCTCCCCCATGGCAACAGCAACTTCCTGTTCCCTGGATGGAGCAATTAGAAAAATCAGGAAGGAGCCGGGAAAGCTGGGAACTACACCAGAGAGATGACTTGACTTCTGGTGGACTAAGCAACTATGTGGCTGGTGATTGAGGTGGCCAACTTGGTGCCCAAGGGCAGCTCTGGTCTAATGAAACTGAGCTGGGAGGAAACTGAGGCAACATCCAGTTGTGTACTAGAGGGCAGGAAAAGGTATAAGCTGGTAACTATGGAAACAGTGGCAGTTGCTAAGTGCCATTGTCAGCTAGACCAGTCAGTGGGCCACCATTTTGGTCACTAAGAAGGGAGCTGTGTTGAATTTGAAGAGAGTAGGAAATGGAGGATATGATGAACAAGACAGCCATCTGGGATACCAGGGGACAACACATGGGGTAGTCCTGTTGAATAACAGAGATTATATTGGAACATGGAAAGGGAAAAAGAACAAGACAAATTAGACCTGCCACAGCAGATGGCAGTCATCTTAGCTGTCTTAAAAGCAGCACAGAGAACAAAGGAAAGGGGATCCTGGGAAGTGCCACTGAATACTAGGAAAATCCTCCTCAGTCCACCCAATCTTCTTACAGTCAGTAAGTTCCAGCTTCCTCCTGAAATAGGAAGCTCTTCCTGCCCCGCCACCCTTCTCCACAGAGTAAGAACCATCCACAGCCCTCCCCACAAACCCCCAGACTAAGTCACTTGAGTTCCAGCCAGACCACTTCCTGTTTCAGAAGTGCTACTTCCTGTCCTGGATGAAGGCACTTCCAGTTCCTGCTGTACTGCTTCTGCCACTTCCCAGGCCACTTCTGTCCAGGCCTGGTGACTTCTTATCTGGAGCAAGCCACTTCCTGTCCCAAGTGACCCATTCGGCATCAGACCAAGTCCATATGTGTCCCAACTGGTTCGTATCTTGCTATTGGCCACTGGACAAAACAGGACACTTCTCATGGTAGCTGTCATGACCCAACCACCCCAAATGGCTGGAGTAAGTATGTAGAGGCCTGGGGCAGGGTGGAGGAGGCCCTGCTGCCCATGCCCTGAGCTGGAGTGGAGAACCAGAGCCTTTCCCATAAGGCCCCCATTTTTGGCAGACTCAGGGGAGTAGTTGATAAGAGGTCAGAAGAGGGAGCTGAGAGAAGAGCTTTGATGCCCCAACCCAGGAGATGGGGGAGGCACAGGCTAAGAAGCCAAGAGGATAAAAGGAGATGTAGGGAGGAGGATGCTAGGGAAGAGGAACAGACCTAGAGACAGAAGAGAGAAAGAGAATGAGAGAGAGAAGAGAAGAGAAAAACAATGAGAGGCAGAAAGAAAGAGGTGCCAAGCAAAAGACAGACTGTTCCCGCCCCCAGCTCTCAGTGGGTGAGGGGAGTAAGGATCCCTGGGTCACAGTCAGAAGAGGTGGCTGAGTCTCTGCCTCCTTCCCAAGGGAATAGGACCTGGGAACACAGAGAGGGGCACACATGGCCAACCACAGGGCAGGAAATGGTTCGGTGAAAATCTTAAGGAATGCTACAAGTAGAGGAGAGGGTAACAGCCAGGAGAAGCAAAGAAGCTGGTGGGGCAAAGGGGGCCAAGGGGATGCTAGAAGTGTCCCTCCAACCACAAATCACACTGGAGGAGCACCACAAGAGGGGCTGGATCCAAGAGAGCCAGGTGAGAGAGCCCTCATACTTTGTAGTAGATGTTTGGAGGGCTCTGGGGAGGCCCATCCTGTACGATGTACACAGGATGCCCATAGTCACCACTCACCTTCTCATAGTGGGGACAGAAGGGGGGGTCTGCAGCCCCACTGCCCCGAAGAGCTATCCCTAGTTCCCCAGGCTCAGTCTCCCTAGGTCCCATCCCACCTCCGCCCCCGAGACCCAGAGACCCTCCCCTCCCAAAGGAGCCAGGACCAGGGTGGCGACTCTCCGAAGGCTTGGCCCGCCGTCTCCGCCAACACATGGCACCCCCAGCCCCTGCCACGCCCAGCAAGAGCAGCACCAGCCCCCCTGCTGCCCCGGCCACTGCGGGCATGCTGGGAGGGGGCAGGGGGCCTTCAGCACCCCGGGAGGTTGCATTGCTGGTGGGGTCACCTGGCAGGGAAGGGGTGAAGGAGGAAAGAGGGGGAGGGGCTGAAGGAGCCACCTAGGCATCTGGACAGCCAGCTTTGGGGGTCCCCATGGGCTTCCTCAGCAGTGCCCAGGACCCTTGGGGACCCCACCTCCCTTCCACCCTTCCAAGCCCAGCTCAGAATCCAGGTGTGTCCAGCCCTTCAGCTCTGTGCCAAAGAGTCCCCCCACCCCACACTTCTCTGACAGCACTGATTGAAGCGCTGACTTGGCTAATTAGTTCTAATTGAGTCTTTTCCTCATTTGGCTTCCATTTCCCTCCCACCCTCCCATCCTCTTTTCTCCTCTTTCCTGTATCATCCCCCCAACCCCGTAAAAAAAAAAAAAAAACTAAAGAGGGAGGGAGAGGGTGAAGGCAAGACAGCTGGGATCCAAGAGCAGAGAAGGCTGGGGAAGGGAGGAGGCTGGACCCCTGGTTCCTACCTGGCACACTCTCCTTCCCAGGCTCCAGGCTGTGGGCTGCCCCTTGGTCTCTTTCCATGGGCATTTCAGACACAGGCTTTCGAGGGGCAGCCCCTCCTCGGGGACCTGGAGGTAGGGAAGACCCAAGAGAAAGCAGCTGAGACGGCAGCCCCTGACCTTGATGGTACTGCCCTAACCTCCCTCGGCTTCTAGATGTGCCCAAACCCCACTCACTTTGTCCCACTCGGAGAAGAACCTTCATGCCTCGGGTAAGGCACACACCTCCCTGCAAGCTCTCCAGGCCTTCCCGGGTCCCATCTGATGTGGCTGGGAGAAAAGAGCCAGAGGGAGAAGTCGGCACCCCAAAGTCTAGCTTCAACCTTGTTTCTGTGCCCTGGCCCCAATACCACCCAAGGGTATAAAGGATGTCTCTTGGCTCTGGTGGCCCCTCCTTCATCTGCCCTCCATCCCAGGGGCACTTCCCCACTCAACCTGCCCTCTACCCAACATTACCAATTATGTAGTAATCATGGTGCGAGCGGAACTCGTGGCCCCAAAGATTAGGGCTATACTCCTGGAACTTGATGGTGAAGCGAAGATCCAGGTCTGGCCGGTCACAAGTGAGAAGAAGGTTTGGGGCAGGGGGTGCCTCACAGCGCTGGCCCTGGGCACCCCCTACCAGATACAGCTTGTAGAACTCATAATTAGGAGAGGAGTGGGGGCCAGGAGGCCGGGCCCGGGGACAAAGCAGGTCTAGCCGGTCCCCAATCTGAGGGTAGAGCACGTAACCACCCTCTGCCTGGAACCTATGAGGAGGAGGTCAAGGTGAACAAGGAGGAGAGGTGTCAGAGGTCTGGCCCCCAGAGCTTTGCCTCCCTCGTCCCACATCCCTGCAGAACAGCCTTTGTCTGACTGAAAAGTCTATTCTGATAGAGCAGGCACTAAGGATTCTGTAAGCTCACGCTGGAAGCAGCAGGAAGCCAGGCTCAGAGGTCTCCTGCCCCTTGGTGTGCCCAAATGCACTCTTCAGCCTGCCCTCACCACATGCACACTGCCATCTCTCCCTTCATCATCAGCTCTGTTGCCGTGGCAACAGGATGCCAGTTACCAAGGAGCTGGCCTCTCTGGAACCACACAGCCCACCCCTCCCAGGTGATTTCACTATTCCTTGGCAGGCAACCATGGGGGCAGAGCCTCCCCTCCTCCAGGCCACCACCAAATTTCAGGAATTTCAGGGCAAAGGTTGAGGGCAGTGGGGAGGGCGATCCAGACCAATGCCTTGAGTTAACCAGGCAATGTGACAGGAGGCAAGAGCCTGGTCTGGCAATAGCCTGGTCTGGCAATAGCCCTAAATGGGGCTAATGGGAACCAGGGTCTGGGAGCCAGCTGCCCAACATTTTCCTGCTTGGTACATCTCGTCCCCCAGCAAGTCTCAGACCTCTGTCAAAAGTGCCCCATTGCTATGAAATTGAAGGAGCTGACTTTTCTAACCACAGCCAACACAAGCCCCCACCTCTCTCTGCTCAGCCATCCACTAGCCCAGCACAGCTAATATCTGCCAAAGATTGAAGCACCTCCCTGCCATTAATGGCAGACAGGGTCTCAGAACTGGATCCCAGGGGACTGCTGCTCTGTATCTTCCGAGATTCTCAAATGACCCACTCTCTCCCACCCAACATCCAAAGAGCCTCCAGAACACCCCAATTCCCTTTTCTCAACTCTAGTAGAATAAACTTAATGTCCTCAAGCTGTACCAGATAAACTGCAGCTGGGAGTTGGTGGATAGGAAACTGAGTAGAGAAAAGACAGTTGAGATTATACCCAAAGAGATATGGGAGGGAGGCCAGAACAGGGAAATGTGAAGGAGGCTGTGAAGTACAGAGAGGAAGGGCAATAATCTTAGTGCTCCTTTAATGAATACATATGTTCCATCATCTTACCTCTAATCCTCATAAAAGCTGTAAGGATTGAGGATACCAAATCAGAAAGGTTAAGTAACGTGCCCAAGGCCACACAGCTCAAAGCACTGAGCTAAGATTAAGACTTTAGGATTTGATGAGCTCCAAAGTCCACCCTCTTCCTCACACAGCCCCTGCAGGGAGGTAGGAACTTTTCAAAATACAGAACTCTTTTGCTAATGAGGAATGAGATCTGCATGGAGCCAAGGGACCCAGATGACCTCCCAAGGGTTCTGTCCTACCGTATGTGGCTTGAAGTTTCATCTGACCCCTGGCCTTTTTTCGGAGCAAAGCAAGCATGCCACAGAACAGAGGGTCTAATGGGAGAGTCTGCAGCAAAGATGGGGGAGGGGGCAACGGAGTTCTTGGGACTCCAGATGCAAGAGGGCAAAAGAAGGGCTTTATGGGGCTCCAGGCTTCTTCCAGAAAGAAGTCCCCAAGCCAGAAACCGACGGCTATCATCTGGTTGGGAAATTGTTCCACCAAGAGCTGTGTGCAAGAGTTGGGAAACTGTGTGAAGAGTCAAGAAGCCTTGGGGGAGCTGTCCCCAAACTGAGCCCCCTTCCCTCCCATCTCCACCAGAGTCCCTTCTGGGGCGGGAGGCACCCTGCCTTTCCCTTCAACGCTTCAGCAGCACCTACTCAGCTGCTCTCCTGAGAGCTGACACTAACCAGGCTTCCTCCAAGCCCAGCCCCCGACACCATGCAAGTCTCCCACAAACACCCATAACTACTCCACTGCCCTCCTAGCTCCCCGTGAACTTTCGGATCCTTGCCCTTTGGGGTCCTTCAAACTCCCAACACCTGGATATCACCACCCACAACCAGCTCTGTTTGCGACCCAGGAATCTGGCTCCCAAGATCACCTCTGTCTAGCAACCCATCAGCTGCCGGCAGAGCACCAGCTACCTCCCTCCAGCCTCCTCCCAGCTCAGCGAACTCAGCCCCCGAAATCCCCAAACCTTCCATACTCCTACTGGGAGGGTGTAGGGTCTCCCCAGCCCGGATAGCTCACCTCTTATTCGCCGAATTCCAGTAGACAGGCTCCAGGCTGAGCCCAGACACCAGCCCCCCAAAACCGAGCAGCAGTAGGGCCCCGACTCGCACGCCCCCCGGCCTAAATTGGGGGGCCCCCATGACCCCGCCAAGGCCTGGGGGGCGGGGCACAAACTCCCCTAAAGTCGCTCACCCCCTGGGGTGACTGCCTTTGCTGTCCTGGCTTTTCTGCCCGGACCTCCTAGGTGGCTGATACCCCCGCTCCCACGCGGACCTGCTTCCTGCTCTGCCCGCGCCCAGCTCCGGAGCGCTCAGCCCTCAGGAGCCCTTCCAGAGGCGGTCTGCAGGCTCCCTACGTCCCAGCCCAGGCTCAGCACCTCGGGTTAGTGAGCGGGCCTAAACCGGGGACTGAGGGAGCCAGGGACCCAGCGGAGGTGGCATGGAGCGCCGGACAAGGGAGCTAAGGGGGCGCCAAGCCGGAGCCCCAGCCTCGCCGGGATTGAGGGCAGCGGGCTAAGGGAGGAAACCAGTCCCGAGCCCGGGAGGGGGAGTTAAAGGAGAGGCGGGGAGGGGGAGAGGATGGCGGAGGGAAAAACCAGAGCTGGAGCTTGAGACGGAGCGGGCGGCAGGATCCCGCAGCCCACGCCCCCACACCTCCCTCTCCCAGCGCACCTCCCGCCGCCTTGCTCCCTGGCGCGGTCTCTCACGCCCCCTTTGTCTTTGAGACTCCCGTCTCAGGCTGTTTCTGCCCGTCTGCCCTCCGGCCCTTTCGTCTCCCCAGAGCTAGGAATCTTCGCCTCAGATCCAGAAAGGCTTGTCTCTTCTCTATCCCAGGAACCCAGCCCCTTTCGCTCCCGCAGCCTCCGCCTCCCGCATCCCAAAACAACACCGCTGCTCCCGAGCGGTCTGGAGAGAATGATAACCTTGAAGGCTTATCACATCACCAAGTGCGCTGAGCGATTTTCATGACCACCTGTGTGAGGTGGGCGGGGCCGAGCTAAAGTATCCCCACTGCAGTGATAAAGAAACTGAGGCTGAGGGGGGCGGGGCGTCCCGGGACTTGTCCAAGGTCATAGTGTCTAAGATAATGCCAGAAACCAAACCCAGGTTGCTGAACTCCCACTCATTGCCACAGTCTCCTGTTATCCTTTACTGTTATCTAGGGTTGGGTGAAAAACAAGAGATTGGAGGGTAAACTTGGGCCCTTCTTTGATGGTTATGGGGAGAAGTGAAGCTGAGAGAGGAAAGGGAGTACCTACAACCCCAAACCCACATTCAGCTGCAAGGGCTGTTTCCAATTATCCTGGGGGAAGGGAGGGGTATGCCTTTTTGGGTGTAAGAACCCTAGCTTCTTTCAGCACCTCTGGGCAGAGGTGACATTCCTCTTCCCTGTTGAACTGTCACAGGCCTCCGGTCCCTTCCCTTCCACTCTGAGGTCCAAAATCAAATTCCCTGCTGACAGTATCTCTTCAGAGCTCCCCTTCACGGGGTTTGGCAAGGTGTGTGTGGGGGAGGAGCTGCCGCTGGAAATAACATACTCCCCCCGCCACCCCCAAAGACAGAGCAGATAAATGGAGAACCACCACCAGTGACAACTGCTGAATCAAAGACTTGCCCTTGTCCTGCATCTAATGAGAATACAGACTGTGACATCTGTGTCTTTAAACACCTTTAGTCTTTTTAAAGTGTGTCCTTGACTCTGGCTACTAAGTCACCTGCCTCCTGGGGGAGTCCAGGGTCAGGAAGAGGGGTGCTTCTGCTCCCCTCCCCCAGAGCTGAGTAATGGTCCCTCTGCTGCTTGATGATGGTAAACAGTGTTGAGCCAGAGAGCGGGTGTCTCGTCTGCCACTGTCTGCACAGTCTGACACACAGCTCCTACCACTCCTGCTCAGCCATGATCACTTTGACCCCTGCCACCCACCTTGAGAGTGAGATTTCAAACAGGTTCCCCCCTTCAGTTTACCAAGTTGCCTAGCAACCAACCAGTCATTGGTATGAAGCCCCACCCCCAATCACTTGACTTCACACCAAACTCAGCAGTCCCATTGGCTCCTGCCTGGTTCCACCTCTCAACCCTGGTTTCAGGAACAATATGCCAGTCCCCAATGCTGCTGGACAAGGGAGCCCACTAATACCCCTCCCAATCGCCCTCTCTATCATTTGCCTCCCCAAACAGACACAAAGACTCTAGTATCATATAAAACGTTTTTATATAAACTCACCTCCACCTCCCTTTGTCCCTCCCTGTCCCTCCTCACCCTGGTGAGTATCAGGGATACTGGTGTCTGGGGTCCCTCCACACCACCACAGCTGAAGCTGACATTCAAGGTGGACGTGGCGCATAGAGAGCAGAGGAAGGTCCACTTCCTGCTCCCCCTCATCTCCACTCTCTGTAGGCTCCGGAAACACACGCTGACCAGAAGCAGTGGCCAGCAGAGGCAGGCTAGGGTGCAGGCTGGAGGGAGAAACGGGCAGGGTCAGTCAACACCCTGAGAAAGGACGCCTGCTCCCTCAGCAATCCGCCTCCCTCTCCAACCCGAGCCCCAAGATCTGTGGAATTAACAGATGACCTCACTCCATTGGTGCAGTCCTTCTGGGGCAAAAAACTCAGCACTGGCTCTGGCGTCCTCTCATGCTCAGCCCCGCCGGTGTCCCACACAGAGACAGCCCCACTAGTACTGCCACTCACAAGGAACTGCCCAGTCCTGGGGGAGGGAGCAGAGGCTTGCTGGCATGGAGTCAGGAATTCCATGCCCAGCCTCTGGGGCAGGAATTCCTCATACCCAGGGGCTGGGGTCTGGGCTACAGCTGGGCATCCCTGTGGGCACTTGGGCCCTGGGCAGGAAGGACCCACGGTCACTCACGGGTCCAGATCAAAGTAGATGCGCTGATTTGTTGTCACTTCACGGCTTAGGGACCACAGTGGATGAGCAGGCTGCCGGAGATCCCAGCATAGAAGCTCAGAATCCTGAAGACACAGAGCAAGGGCCTGGAGTCCACCCGTCTCTACCCCTAACTGGCCCCCCCCCCCCCGCCCCGACATCCCCACTTCCCTCAAGGTTTACAGGCACTCCTTTAGCTTAGGTTGAGTTTTTTCTCCCACATCTAATCCCCAATGTGTCAGACTATATTCCTAATCCTGCCTACTGCCCTTTGGGAGCTCAGAACGTGACTCCTACCTTGCGGGCTCCTGAAAAGAAGCGATTGCCATCGGGGTGAAAGCAGAGGTGGGTGATGCCCCCTTTGTGGCCTCCCAGCAAGGCGAGAGGGGAGCCATCATCCCAGGCATAGAGACCCAGGGAACAGCCATAGGAGCCACAGGCATAGAGGGGCTGGGTTGGGCTGAAGGTGATGCAGGAGATGATGCCACTCTGGCCCTGCTTTTTTGCTAGAAAGGGAAGGAACAAAGTGGGGGAGGGGGCAACAGCACCTGACATTAACCAGGCTAATCAGAGGTACACCTCTGTCTCTTGTCCCAGAGCCCACACACCAGGACTCAATGTCTCCCCTGCCCCATTTGTTACAAGCAAGATGAAGACCTCAGATACTCCCCAGATCCTTCTATCCCCACAAAGGATTTAAATGCCCAAGACCTGCTTTTTCCCTCTCAAATCTACCTTTCCTGGAAGGAACGGAAAGCTGAAGCCTTATAGGAAAATAGAATCAGATTCACCTACTATCACCTAGAGATACTAAGATTTTGGAGACCAAAAGGTACACAGGTGACAGGGATTGGGCTTGGAGTGAACTACCTCTTTACCCAGCAGGCTTGCCTCGGGAAAACTCCATCTCCTCCCTTAGACTGTTTTCTCCTCTGGACACTAGGCATTACCTGCCTCCCAGGGCTGTACACAGGAGGATGTGACCCTCCCCCACATGTGGTCCCCTGGCTCACACAAGTCCCCTCTACACATAGCAGTACCCTTTTCTTTCTTCCTCTCTTAAAAGCACAGATGCTTACCAAACGTGGCTCGAACCTCACAGTCACGGCCGGGCCGGGCCGTGGAAAAGACACGCACAGTCCGGTTGAAGCCACAGAAGAGCTGGGAGCCATCCGGGGAGAAGCAAAGTGAGTGGGCTGCTGTCAGCTCATCCTGGAGGGAGGAAAGAGCTGAAAACAGGCCTAGTAAAACCTTAACTGTCCTGAAGGAAGGAAAGCAGGATGAACCTGGGGCTGGGCGGGAGGTCCCTACCAGGTGGTTGTAGGCGCGAAAGGAAGCCCGAAGCTCTCCAGTGAATGCATCCCAGATGTGAATCGGGTTCTCCCGGCTGCTGCTGGCCACACTGAGAGAAACAAGGATTCTGAGACTCCGATGCTATCAAAGGAAGGGGAGGAAGCCAACTGACCAGCCCTCTCAGATCACATATGAAGGCCCCAAGCTTTCCTCCCCACGAAATCCCTAGGCAGCCCTGGACTCTCTCTCAGTAGAGGGTCCCCCTGAAACTGTTGGGGGTCACAGGGGAGACAGAGGCCATCACTTACTAGGAAGTATCTGGCTGGGATGAAGACATCAGAGAATACCAGCAGTAGTCATAGATGGTGTCACCTTCCACCATCCGAAGGACAGGGACCTGGACAGAGATGGAATGCCTGGATTACCGGCAGGGAAAGGAGACAGACTCGGATCTCCAGCAGTTTAATGGTGGAGGGAGATCATTTGTCAGCATTTAACCAGGCAGGAGAAGGCAGATGGGGTCAATATGAAGAACAGATTCTTGATCTCAACATTCAAAGGTCAGCTCATACTTTGTCAGATTTGGGCCATCAAAAGTTATATATATTCATCCTTTTGCTTTTTAAACACTTAAAGAAGAAAAAATAAATAATATCCCAACCCAGAGACAAAGAACGAACCCATAGTAAGCATGTTTACTAAGCACCTACTAGATGCCATTTGAGACTTTAAAATAATAGTTCAAATTGGCAAAGTGTTAAAAAAAATGCCCAACCCCCCCCACCCTCTGACTCCTCCAGTTTAAGAAATAAAATATACAAAACAGTTAAAACTTCTTCCCCAAAAAACTTTCCCTCAGAGGTAAACATGATCGTAAATTTATCATTCTCATGAATTTCTTTAGGACTATGTTTACACAAAGAAAACGCAACGTATAGCATTGACTCACATGTCCTTAACCTTAAATATTATAAACCTTAACCTTAAATACAGTATCACACTGTATCCATTTGTTTGTGAGTTAACCATGGTGACACATTTAGCTCTAATTCATGTATTTTCACTGCTTACTCCACTCATCTTTTTTAAAGGACAGTTTCATGCTCTTACTTTTATTTATTTATTTATTTGTTTGTTTGTTTGTTTTTAGAGAGAAGGGGAAGGAGGGAGAAAGAAAGGGAGAGAAACATAGATGTGCAACAGATACATCAATCAGTGGTGTCTTGAACACACCCAACTGGGAACCGAGCCTGCAACCCAGGCATGTGCCCTGACTGAGAATTAAACCAGGAACCTTTCAGTTTACAGGCCGGCCCTCAACCCACTGAGCCACACCGGTCAGGGCTCATCTATAATCTTCTATCCGTAGTCACTGATGTCTTTCCATTTTTTAGCTAGTGTGCTTTTTAACATTCTGGTGTACATGCAGGAGGGTTTCTCTGTAGTTTCTACTAAAGAGGAAAATTACTGGGCTCTATGGTATGCACTTTGCCAACTCCGCTAGATCATGTCACATTTTTTCCCAAAGGGCCCATCCCGGTCCACTCTTCCACCAACAGCATGAGCGTCCGTTGCTCTGCACCCTGTTGGTGTTGCCATACTTAAACTGTTCTCAATTTGAAGGCTATGAATTGGTATACATTTGCATTTCCCTCATTACTACTGAGATTAAGTTTTTATCTATTTTTTGAGACATTTATCTGTGTTTATTAGCAATTTAAGTATGCCTTTTCATAATTTTTATTCATTTTTCTATTAGGTTTTTGTCTTTTTCTTACTGATGTGAAGGAACTCTCTTTTTAAATAATTTTTTAAAAGATTTTATTTATTTATTTATCCAGAGAGAGGGGAAAGGAGGGAGAAAGAGAGGGAGAAAAACACTGATGTGAGAAACACTGATCAGCTGCCCCTCA